CGGGCAGAGCGCAGGGAGGGTGCTGCTGCCTTGCATGGCTTTCCTCTGCATTGCTCCCAAGAGCTAACGAATACTGGGGACCACTGCACTGAAGACCAGATTTCAGCACTTCACGTGGCCCCAAGGACAGGGTAGTGCCAACTCATAAGGACACCTCTGAGTCCTGACTCTCCTCTATCTCCTCTCTGGTGCAGGGCAGCAACAAATTACAATATCCCCCAACTTGCCTCAGCTGCGCTGGCCGGTGAATAGGGAATGGAGCCAAGGATCCTCCCCGTTCCCTGCCTCTTTCTATCCATCTGCTCCGAGCAAGGAATAAACAAGAACAGCCAGAACACAACGGCTGGGTAACCCAGGTGGGGTTTAAAAGTGTTTCTTACTATTCTGTGTACAGGACTGTTGTCCAAATCACAGTCACACCTGGCACCCTCAGGAAACAGATTTCCTAATTCAGGTCTGAGTCTCCTTTGAATGTTATTTAGAGTGCAAGAGAAGAAAATCAGACTTAGTCTATTTTCATCTTATGGCAGCATTTAACTACAGAATAAATGAAAAAGTTAATTGCTAAATAAAAAGGAAAATAAAGGGATTGGTGGCATAAAACACAGATGGAAGTCTGAGTGGGTGTGTTACTTTAACTTACTGTACTTGTGTTCATGTGATTCTGTAAGTGTATGTATGCCAAACATATATGGTCTTAGCCTGTTCCCATTAACATGGATCTGTGTTTTTTTTTTCCACGGGACAGAGGGAACCAGATCAAAGACCATGATGGTGCTAAATGGAACAAGATGTGTACTTTGGTATTTTTTTCCAAAAGGAAATATTAATTTGACATTGGTTTTTCAGTTGAAAAGAATTTTAATTGCAGTACACAATAAGCAGAAAATTCAGACAACAATAATCTTGAAACTGTTAGCAGCATTATTATATTTCTATCAAGGAATCTCGTGTGCCTTTTCAACATTAGAGCTTTCTGAATTTTCATTAATTTGGCATTTCCCTAAACACACAAGTTATTTGGTTCATTCCACATCATGCATCACACCCTCCTGCTCAATGCATAATGCAAGCGTAAATGGGATCCTTGTCCTGGAGAGACTCTGGTTACTGGAGCCATTGCACGGATGTTGAAGTCCCGCAGTAAGACTTTCCAAACTCTGCACTTCGCAAACCTCCAGCCCAAGTTTAATCAGTGAATGCACAGGAATACTTCATGTTCCTCATCTTCTAAGGGGCACTGGAGCACTGTGATGGGTTTAATTCCTCTACCTCCTTATGTTTGCCAGTACTAGAAACGCACCACATAAGAGTCTTCCTTGAGTACAGCTAAAGATCTTCAAATTTCCATGTATGAGGCTGATTTATATTTAAATGGACCAGAAAATGATGCGTGAGGATTGAATGCATTCCCGGAACAAATAAACGTCTATGAACCTATTTTCCATACACCTATGCACTTTACTAATGGAGGTACTGAAATTAGGATTGACTTTGATGGAGTGAATGGAGTCACAGCAGTGTAAGAGGAGAACAATTCCCCTTCTTTCCAAATCTATAGCTCTGTCTATATCTATAGCTGTATATCCATCCCATCTCACTTGATTAATTACTAATATTATTCTGACTGCACACATCTTAAACAATAACTCCATCTCAAGTCAGCCACATTGGTAGACCAGCTAATGTTCACCTCCAGAGACGACTTTTGGATAATTACACCAATATTCCCAGTAGCTCTCTGCCACTAGACTCCTGATGGAGATTTCATAATGAAAGCTATGAACGAAATATGGTCTGGACCTTTCTTCTCAAGGGACACTATGAAAAGGAATCACGGAAGCTCAGGTATTACCAGGTGGACCATGAACTCGACAACATGCAGAACAAATAGATGATGCAGAAAAACAAGTTGGCTGTTGAAGAAAAAAACAAAACCTGATACATGGGAAGAATTTTTCAAGGAATTTTTATCCCTCTGTGCAAATTATTCCAGCAATTTCACTGAAATCACTATCAACAGAAATGCTGATCAGCTGCTCTTTTTGTTTTTCCTGGGGAATTTGTAATTTCAAGCTTCTTGGAATTTTGATGGCTCTACTACTGTCAATCATGGTAAGTCTGTTCTATTTAGTGCTGAGCAAACTTTGTCATCAGCTGAGATATGATCAGGCTAACTGCCATCCATCAGTTTACTGTATTAGTTGCTCCAGTATACACAAAATACAACGCAGATGGAATTTCACTCATCCTAATGAAGTGCTCTTTAGTTGCTACGATCTGAATGGATACTTGCTCCCCTGGTTGCCTTCTGAGTTCCCGTGATCACTGATTAACTACCTGCCAGCGAGGACCTCACTTCACAAGACTAAATCCAGCTGTGGATAAACAGTGATTTTACAGAGGAAAAACGAAAGCTCCCGCTTTATCCACTTATCAAACTACTGCATATGCATCACCAACACACACAACCAGTTTCCTCAGAACTCGACATCTGACAGATCATCAGGAAAACAGAGCTAATCTATCCGTACCCATCAACATTGTATCATAGGTGACTGCCAGATACTTAAGAAGCACTCCAAAAGAAATGTCACAACTCTTTTTCAAGACACTACAAAAGAAATGTTCCAAATAAAATAAAGCAAATGCACATACAAGTAAATGAGCCAAAGAACTTAATAAAAAGAGATTGATTAAAATGAGGACCAGAATGTTCAAAAAGGGCTGAGAGAGAGAGAGAGGTGCCAAAGGCGCATTAAATGGATTCAATGGCTTCAGGTTTTAAATGCTTTTGGACTCCTCAGTAATTTTTAGCCAAAAATGATAATTCAAGTTAGAATCAAAATTCTGATGTCACTTAGGGAAAAGAAGGTTGATATTTCTCCTTTGTAAATGAGCACTGCACTACTTATAAAGGAGAAATACCAGTTTATCCTGACAGAAAACCTTGCCTACAGATTTTTAAAACCAAGTGCTACAGTATTCACCATTATTTTAAATCCTACCCCATTAAAATCTGCCTTAAATCGTTTGGTACAATGTCCCCACAGAGTGTATCAGTTTAGCTGTTTGTGTCCGTGTTTACAGCATCATCTGGATTGGTTTAGATGTCTTTAGATCTCAAAGTGTTCTGCTTTGTCACCCAAGTGGTTCTTTCAATAATGAACTAGTGCTCAACACATCACCTATTTCTTCAATGTACAATTTTGTGGGGTTTACATTTAAAAAGTTTAATCAGAAGTGTAATAAATAGCACAATAACCGTTCAATTTTCCCTTTGATTTAGTGTTGTTTTCAGTATCATTTTGCACTTATAAATACATATTGTAATAAGAACTTTTCTTTCCCCCCAATGACGTCTTTAGACGTCTCGTCTAAAATTCATGACTGCACTTGTTTCATTTCAAATGGTATTTGAGAGTTTTTCAGCATACTTGGCAGATTAGATATAGCAGCGGGGACAAACTGCAGCCATCCATAGGAGAATATACCTTTATGTGGGTGCTTTGGGGATGGAACATCTATAGCTGCAAGGCAAAAAAATGCCATCATAAATTTGGATGGCATTTACAAAGCCCTCTAAAAAGTCTTTGCATATCATTATAGCTGAGGTATAATATTTTTGCAAGTAAAAGACCCAGAATAGATTTATGTTTCAACTATATCTTCCTGAGATGCATATGGATGCTAAATTGCAAGTGATACTAAAGGGAATTTTAGTAACTGAAGAGGATGGAGTCAAATTCCCTGTGTTTTTTTATATTATTTTTTATTTTCTCAAAAATCATTTGCTCATTATTTGCATGTCATCAAAAGATCATTGGCTATCCAAGCTACAGATAACAATGATGGCTGCTAAATGCCAAAGGCATGAGATGGAGATGGGTAAATACGTAGATTTTTTCAACCTGTGACCTCAGTTACTGCATGCTAATGTTTTTAAATGACTTTTATGATGACAAGACTAAGTTTGGTGTTAATATTGGTTTTGAAGACTTAGTCAGTACACACTGCCATTGAACATATGTTTTAATTAAGAAAAAGACCTGTGGTCAGGATTGAAAATAGCTCAGGTAATTTACCATGTACTGTAAAGTCACCTGATTTCTGCACAATTTGAGGTGAAGAGTTTATACATTATTCTGAAGAAAGCAAGAGTTGCAAACTGAATTCATGTGCATCATACCAAGCTGAAATGGATTTAGAATTTGACAGGTCAAGAGTGTACTCATGGAACTGTTATGTATTGCTATCCAGTGGTTCTGGGTGGTTTTACCATATGACTGCCCAGGTTTGACAGTCACAGGGCTCAACAATCATCTCATTTCTCCATAACACAAGAAATCATTTGTAGCTGACCTACAGCTGCTGTGCTCTTTCACTGGCAAGTGTCCATTGCCAGTTGTAGGCTGGTGAGCTCCCGCTGGAATGGCGCTGCCGACCTGCCACCAGCAGCTCCCGGGCAGCAGGGACATAAACTGCTTCCCAACGGATCGGCTTTCAGGCAGGTGATATCAAACAGGAGAAATCAGCCTCATTTTTCTGCATTCCCGATGGTTTCAGGATTCTGGGAGGAACAAAGAATCCCCCTGGAAAAAACATCACCCTCCCACTGCAGAGAAGGCAGAGCACAGCAGTTTGGCATTGGCATCATTTCCAGAGGAGCCGTGTATGACCATGCTGCCTGCAGGTCTGCTCATGTGATCTGCCCAACACCTCTCTCATCTACTGAGCAATTTGAAACACATCTGACAGAGAGGCATAGAGGAAAAATTCCCTGTGAGTTTCATGAACACAGGCAGGGGAAGGGCAGAGGTAACATGTCAGCGCTCCCTCCAGTGCTGTCACTCTGGCAAAGTGCTCAGTGTGAGTCCTCTCCTCACTAGAAACCAGAGAACCCACATGAGAGGGACACCTGGTACATCCCCCCCAACCAACACAAAATGTCTATGCACCGAGAACAAGAGCATTGGCATTGTTTGAATAAGCACACCCACCATGTAGTGCTCCGCGGTGTTCGGGGTTTCTTAGATATCCTGATTTTATAAAAAGAAAGTAAAAGAAGAAAAAAGAAACAAGGTGAGAGAGAACACTATCATATTTTGTAGCAAGCAGGATACTGTGTGAAATCTTGGCCCAGTGAAGTGATAAGGGGGAAGCTTTCAGTTTGCTTAAGGGAAAACTTACGAGCAAATAGTAAGATTACCAAAACACCACATTGCAGCAAACGGGTGCATTTAGGTTCAATTAAGCTGTAAAAAGGAAAATGGCACTTTAGCTTATGAAAATGAAGGGACAGAGGGAGCTATCAGAAGCAACTTTACAAGATTTGAATGCATGAGGATGCTGCTTCACTGGACCAAGAAAGCTACAGTATGGGACAGGATTTTTCTTTTATTAGACACTTTGCTAGATAGCTTTGTCGAACCTCAGAAACGGCTGCTCTGGCATTATGAAATAATCCTACATAACTTGATCTCATGAGCTTAGGAACACAGAAAAATAGCCATGCCAAATCAGATTACAGGGATCCACCTAGTCCAGTATCCTCTCTCTGACAGTGGCAACTAATGGATGCCTAGAAAAAGAGTAAAAAGACCAGGGAAAGCATACAGTGATAATTCTCCAAAATACTCTCCCAGCCTCCAATGATTTGTGATTCAAGGGCTTCTAGGACAAAGTTGGTATCGTGCTATTGAAGATACTCGAATCCAAATGCACAGATCCACACCCCCCTCCTCCCCTTTTTTGGAATTCTACCCCCATGAGATCTCTACTAGTCACACAGAAAAGGTTTCACAGTTTGGTGCTGGCAAGTCCACTGCTCTTGCTGCTAACTCGGAATGAGCTAACAGCTTTCAAGCCCAATGATGTTATGTGTACAAGAGCATCCAACACTTTTTCCTACGTTAAAAAAGTGCTATGTGTGCTGAGGTGCTCTACGTGTAAATACTTTGGGAGACTTGATATACTTTTTTTGTTTTTAAAAAGCAAGAATCTGGCTGTAAATTGATATTAACATTTTTCAGTATATGTGTAAAACACATGTTTCAGAAGAATAGAAGAGAGAAACTGTCACTCACTGGGAAGCTTTAGAGCTATCTGGCTCCCTGGGAAACTGCATGCAACTATTCTGGTGTCCAAGGGTTTGACCAGTGAGTTTCCTCTTCCTGCAAAGAATGAATGCAGAAGTAATAGAAAGTCTGAGGGGGAAGATTTTAGCAAATGGCTAAAGATAATCCTATTCTGCCCACTCCAGCAGGTAGGAAGCAGGTGGTGGTGGTGGAAGAAAAAGGGTGGGAAAGGAGAAACGCCTCCCTTCCCCTCCTAGCAGCTGGCACCAGGGAAGGGCAGGATTCTAACCTACGAGGGACTCGCACACTCACAGCTCTGAAATCCCTTTGTGATGCTGCATTTGATCTGCAACGATGCCGACAGGTCATGGCAGTCCCAGCACACACACAATGTCAGGACGTTCTGCTCTGATTAGCTGGGGTCTTGCTGTGACTCCCTTTCAGGATGGAGCATGGCTCACCGGCACTTGGTGATTGAAACCGAGCGCACTGGGCTGGCGTAGCTTCATTAACACTACCAGGCACATAAACCCCCCGTATGCCCAGACTGGAACACTGACTTCTTAAGCATCGTGCTTATTTTACCGTCCACTTTTCAGGGGAGTTGTGTTTTTCTAAAGTTTTGATTTTCTAACCAAATTGGTGTCTACATGTCAATTTTTGACTTCATTTACAAAAAGAATTGGTAAAAGTAAGGGTCTAAATTAAAAGCTTATCCTTATGTTTTTGATGGCATATTGACTTTTAAAGGCAGGAGTGGCTATCAGGAAGTCCCTATAAACTTTACTTACAGCAAAAAAATTAGAACGTGATCGAAAAGTTTTAGAGAGGAGAGCAGAAATATCGTTTTAAGCCTCTTAAAATTGCCTGAACTGTGAAATCAAGTAATGAACACTAGAAAAGGATCTGTCAGCTGGAATCAAAGCTTAGACTAGTCAGCATTTTCTTCCTAAACCTTATTATGGCAAAGATTTTTCATCTCTGCACTCTGTTCATCCCAACAAATAAACCGACTTGACCTCCACCTGTTAGCCGGTGAAGTCTGCTGTCATCGTTGACTAAGCCCTATTCTTTCCCTTCAAAGCCCTCTGCACCGCTGAGAAGGTGGGAAGACACAGCTGTGCACTGATTTAAATTGATACCAGTTCATAACCAGACAGCATTTCACAGTACAAATTACAAGCAACAGAGGAGAGGGAAAAAAGAGGAGTCTGTAGTGCCAATGAGTTCTGGAAGGGGGCAACATTTTTCATCAATTTAAAAATGAGATTTTCATAGAAGTTCTTTTTATTTATATTTTGTGTGTGTGTGTGATATTATGAACTAGCATTTGAGGCAAGAAACATTTTGCTTATGCCGTTACAATGAACCTGTGCTAACACCACATAGGAAGAACTGGAGAACATAATGGCAGCTATTTGTGTTGCTTTTATGTCTCAGAAGTTGAAGGCATTAACTGTTTCCAAGAGGTTCAGCTCCAAATGCCTGTAGGTTTCTAGACTCAGAAACAAGTCACAGCTATATAATGTAACATTGCTAAATAATAATAACAAAATAAGATTATGGAACACAGAACAGCAAGATATGTCATGAGGAAAACTGTAGAGCTACAGCAGTAACTTCTTCAAATATATCATCATGACAAAACCACGTAAGAAGGTTGCTACTACAAAGACATATCAGAAAAAAGCCATTTCATATAAAGTTGGACTTCTCTGGGTGATTAATGCTACGTTCAACAAAGGAGACAGTGTCTGTCTAATTACATTAAATACTTATCTTCTAGGGATTGGCAGGGTGTTTCTGCTCAATGTCACTTTTCATGACAATGTAATGATAGATCCGTTTACTTACCAGTGCCATTAGCAAAAATTGTACTGTTTTCTCAACTGCCCTCATATCACGAAAATATTTGATTAACACACTGTAGCTTATCTAATACTCTAAGCAACATATTCTGCATAGTTTTCTCTCTATTAAAAGAACAAGATTACAGCTTGTAAAATTTTTATTGCACTCACACAAAACTAAATGAATAATGTGTGATAGAGCTCAAGTATTTCACTGCTTCACAAACCAGGTTTATTTGATTTAAGTATTAACTTGTACTTCAAATACTAAGATTTTGGGGGTAACAAGCAAAGAAACAGTCAGCACTCTGAGGCACTACTTCCCATCCAGTCTTTAGTTATTATTTCCTTTGCATTTCAGCACATCTTTTGAAACTTTTGATACCTTAGGAAACAACAACAAAAAAGAAAATATAAAGAGAGTTTTCATTCCTTTTGCTGAAAAATAGACACGGCCATCTCCCAGGCCTCTAAAATTCACCACGTTGTGAACTGCCTCTTCAGAGTCATGCTACTGTGCCAACATACAAAGAACAATAAACCTCTGGAAGAATGTACACAGCAAAGGCAGTTTATATAGTAACAAGATAATTTCATAAGCCTATATAGAAAAGAAAGGCTGTGATGTAACATTCTAGCAGCATATACCAGCTACCTGGTATTTATTAACAAGGTTAAACTACTATCTGTTTTAGAGTCTCAGCACTCTCCATAATTCACTTTTTAATGGATGGACAGGAAAAGTCAGCAGTGTATGGCACGGATCAGTTTGGAAATAGGACAAGACAGCTTATGGCAGATTCTATTTCAAAACACGCTCCACCTTTCCCTATGATCACATCAAAAGTCTATACTTAGCAACTACAATACTCCAAATCCACTCATAAATCCTTTGAGGGGTAGATTTCTATTTCTAAGTAAAACTGCAAATTTGAAAAACAAAGGATCCTGAGGAGGAGGTGTCACCCTCAACTGGTACCACGCATAGTGCATCACTTCTTATCTCCTTGGTACCTGATGCCCGTGCAGAAGACACATGGGCAGCTTCCTCCAGTGAGGAGTTAGGACACCAACCCCATTTTGTTACAGCTCCTCACACTGCCACGAAATGGCAGCAAGAACATACCCAAATCGGCTCCTACTAGGCATAACTCGACACAGCAATGCAGAATTAACCAAAACTGGCTTTTAAAATCCCTTGCAAGTGACTCTTGCAGCGAGAGGATGACACCGCAGCCAACTGCCACATATGACTCTCCAAATTAATAATGGATTTAGGATATTCATTCCCTGAGCTGCGAGGGTTCGGGGTGTGCCTGCAATTATCTAGATATAAGTCTGACACACATTATCCTTCTATCAATGTCATTTCCCTTAGTAGCCAACAGATTATCAGCAGCTTTGTGATATTCCAGGTGTCAAAGAAGAATTAAAACCACAACAATTGCACAAACAAAGGGACAAAAGACGGGATACGTGTTTCTGAGCCCTGCATATCAATTTAATATGTGCAGCTGACAATGATGCAAATGTCCTCGGGAGAGAGGCAGCAAGATCTGTGCCCAAACATACACACACCACCGTCAGCAAGATGGCAGGGAACAGAAGCAGTAGGATTCCCAACCCAGGACACATGCCTCAGCAGGCAAAGCAACCCAATGAAACAATCCTCTGGTTGGGGAGAATTTTGGAAGCACCTGATATGGAAAAAGGCCCTAAACAAGCCAGATGGTACTTTTAGCTGGCAGCAGAAAGTAGGAGACAGCCAAAAACATTACAGCATTTCCCCAAGAGGCCAGCAAATCGATTTTTAACCATTTTTTTTTTCCGAGTGATGCAATGAATATAAAAAATAATGTTTCCATGCATTTTTAAATCACTAATTTTATGAATAATACACTTAAGAGGCAACAACTGGAAGAGATGAGAAAGCAATGCATTTTGACTTTCCCAGGGCGGTTGTATATTTGACATCGGGTTTCTATTCAGTCACTGCCACTGTTTACTCTGAATTAAGCGCCAGGTTTTGTTCAGGGTTTTCCACATAACATTAAAGAGAAAAATCCTGCAAGAATAAAGAGATAGCACTATAAAGTCACAGCAGCACCACAGTCGATGGGACACAGGAGAAATGCTTTGGCCTCTTTAAAAACTGTCGTCCTCCGCCCAAGATTATTGGAGTTTTAGATGATAGTTTTTTAACAGAGGGCAAACAATTTATGTAACACTTGTAAGTTCCCATTTAGGTAGGGATTTGCATAAGAAATAGAGCTGCTTGGGGGACCTTTTAATTTTTAAAATCTCCAAATGTCTGGAATTTGCAATTCCAGCTGGATGACAGGACTTTTCAGAAATCAATTTGATGTCAGATGTCAAACCTTAACTTTGACAGTCAGAAGCAGCTCTTTGCACAGTGTGCTTAGATCGGGTGTTAGAGTGGTTTTTACTCAAGGAGTGGAAAAGAGATGTTGGTTGCAAGGACTGAAAGGGCAGAGTGAGGCAGAGAGTCATGAAACAAGTGGGAACGACCATTACCCTTTGCTTAAAGCTGCACCTCACACCTAGGATTGGTGGAGTTCAGAGGAAGAGTTGGGATGATGCTTTACTTTCATTTGCTGTTATTTTGGTTAACAGTAAAGGCAAGCCCTAAAGACAGGGTTAAATCTGGACTACATCCAAAGCGTTCTCTCCTATTCAGAGCAAGGTAATGCATTAGTGTGCTGCATCACAGATAATACTCCTGGAGACAAAAGTGGGCTGCTGTAATAAAACGGGATGTTCCACTAGGTGCAAAGAAAGATAATCCATACATTCATATTTTTCAAGTCTCAGTGATTGTAAATCCTTACTTTAAGTTTTTCCCTCCTATAGGTGGAACTTAACACTTTGCCTCCAGCCTTTGCTGATATAAGAGTCCCATTCTTTCCAAAAGCACTTGGATGTGAGGACTGCAGGTACTATCTCATTTTGGTGGCTTTTGGGGGTTCAAAGATCTGCACACAAATCCCAGCGAGGCAAATGAAGGCTATGCACAAACAAGTAAAACAGCCTATAATTTTCCAGCTAATTTTAACAATGAGATCTCTTATGTTCTGCTTTTTGGTGTGTATCACACTAAAAATAGCAGCAACCATTGATGTAAGAGAATAGCAGAAAGGATGATCTCATTAGGACCACAGGCTGGGCAAGCAGAGGTGGAGGATGCTATGGGGCACCTGCACTCCCCGGAGCAAGATATCAGTGAAA